AAGACGCGCTTCAAGAATGGGGGAGAGGTGGAAAACAATTTTTTTAAAAACTTTTTTAAACGTTAATTCGTATCTTAAAGAATAAATTCAAAAACTGCCCAAGAGGAAAAGCTTTTTTAAGCTAGCCTCTTTAAAGAATTTGTTTCTATAACAAACAATTCATTGCCCTATTATTTTCTTCCTAAAACTAAAACTTTGATCTCGTGCGTTAAAACGGAATAAAACTCTTCAAAAAGAGCAATGGTAATAAAAAAAGAGCAAAAACCTTTTCCATTGCTCCGATTTTTACCTCTGTATATGTCTTCCGTAACTAGCTTTGTTTCTGTTTCCATCTTCGGGAATAAAAAAAGGTAAAAATATATACTAAGGGAAACGTTAAGTAACAATTACACTTCGTACAAAAATTGTTAAAGAAGTCAGAAGCAACGACAGCAAAAGAACGAAAGAAACAGCAGATGTCAAAATAAATGAGACTTAAGGGGGGGGGAAGGAAATGAAAGTGCTCTATACTTCTAATTTTCGACCCACGTCACAGCTTTATCCCCCCACCCCACCTTTTCTCCTTCCCATTAAAAAAAGGACCCCAAAACTTGCAGACGATGAACAACAAAGCTAATCTTCTATAACTCGAAACCGTGTTATGTATCGCCGAATTAGAGAAACAATGGCGTAAGTGCAAATTTTGATGTTCGTCATTGATTTTATGGGCGTACAGTATCATTTAGAATATGCATGTTGCAAACGCTAATAAAATATAAATTGGATATTCAAAAATGGTTTTACTAGTCTTAAAAGCCTAATATAAGAATTTCGAACATTTAATAAATGTCAGCAAATTAACAACTTTTGGAGAGTTAGGTTCAAGAAAAGAACTACTTAATTTAATTATGTCAAATTAACGACAGTTTAAAGAGTTATGTTCGACGGTTTTGTAATCCAGGAATATTTGAAGCTTGTTCTGACGTTTCACTTATTTCCGCTTAGTGTTTAAACCTATTTTTATCAGGTTCAATGTTCCGTCTTACTTTCTTCGGGAACATGCAAGGACCTGACTCGGAACAGAGAGCTTACTAAAGCTATGTTCAATAACTGTGGGAAATAGACAGGATACACAAGAAGGGTATACAAAACCCTTTATTTTTCTCTATTTACAATAACTTCCGTACTTCGGAATACAAAGACCCAATACTTGTGGTCTAAACGTAAAAAATATAAAAATAAAACTAAACTCTTAACTTTGAAATAATAAACGTGGAAGATTGGCCTTATATTAACAGGAAGCCGTATGTAGTACAGAGAACTGTTAACACTACAATACGTTTAAAATTATCAAGAGGATTAAACCTCTGGCCTGGAAGGCAACCAGCAACCGAGTAAAACTTCTAAGGTAAGCGGCCTGCTTCGACTAACTGCTTCCTCTCTCTCTCTCTTGGCAAAAAGCCACAACTTAAGTACTTGGCGTTCGCCAGACAAACTTTGCATAAATACGTTAACGCTTATAATTCTGGGCGGAAGTAGGAAATAAGAAGTGATAGTAAAGATTTAAAATATAAAATAAACGTTAGTAAAACTTAAGATCCTTACATCTTTACAAAGAGTTGCCGAAACTGTTACCAGTACCTAAAGGTCTTGACATTTCGCAAAGGTTTCTAATCCAAGGGTTGCTGGTTGTTGAGACGAGAGGTACATTGCCGGAGAGAATACACAGCGATGAATCAAAAGTACAGTGATACATCCACAAGCAAATACATGGAAGGAAATAAGTGAAAATGTTCCTTATTTTTAAAGGATACTAATATCCATCAGTAGAATACTTTTCAATAGGTGTATCAGAAACCTTTTCTTCCATGAGACGAGCCTCTGAAGAACTTGTATTTGTGTTTAAGCGGCGCTTTTATAACGACCATTCTGAGTTTCTTCAAAATGAGAATTTCTATAATCCTTTTAATGTCGAGAAGACAGACATTCGCAAGTACATATTATCTTTTATTTATATAATTAACGCATCATTTAACAAAAGCATATGCCTTCAGAATTAATAGGATTTACACCTTCATTGCTTTCATTCTATGGAAAAATCAAAATGTATTCCAGAGAAGTCAGATGCTAGAAACAACAACTAACGGTTTATTCAAAACAGGCTCCAAGCTAAAGGGAATGAAATTCCCAATAAATTATTTTCCGAACTCAGAATTTAAAGATACTGATTTTTTATTAATAACTATGTAGAGTAGCTTAGGTTAATTAACCAGCAATTATGATTTTGATGTATGATATAACTTCACCTTTTCCATATTCCTCATCACAATGTTAATTAGTTGTGTGAGATGATGATCTTGAGGGAGAGTGTGTTTCCGATATTATTGCAAGATTAGGTTTTGACAGCTTTGGGTTAAATGCAATTATTCGGCTTTCGTTTCTCTCAGTGCCCATACTTTAAATCTGATGCACCGGTAAATTTATTTATATCGTTATAACTTAATATTCAACTACTGACTATTGACCAACGTTTAATTTAAACTGACTGTTCTTATTTTAATTTGCATTTCCACGCTGTTGCTACTGTACCACAGACTCGAGCTTTTATGTTCAAAGTTCTATTTAAATATAAAGGCTATTTTTATAACCTTCTTAAGAATTTTCCGTGCTGTCTCAGACATAGCGATAACTCGTTTCAGGTTTGTTAGGGTTATAGGATTAAAATAGCATTACCAGATTAAGTGTAACCTTATAACTATAGACGATGATAAATCGAATCAGTGTTTGAATTTTTCATTTCCCCTTGACATTGTGCAGTGAGACTTTATTCTTAAAGTAGACACTTTAAGACACATTATAAAGAGCCTTGAGCACCATACAGGTGATAGTACTCCTTTGCTCAGTTACGCCCCCAATTTTGATGGAGAGCACCCCAGGGAAAGGAGAGCTCCAAGGGCCTCTCAGCCCTCTTTTCTTAACATCAACCTCTCTAGAGGATTTTCAGCTCGCCACATATTTAATGTGTCCCCATGCCGTACAGACATTATACAAACATCCACACCTTATACGAGATTCGAACCCGGGTCGTTCGGTACCGAAGTAAACTCAGCTGACCAATATACCGTCTGGGCGGCTCCCAATGAAGTACACCCTGCGAAAGTAAATGCTTTCGAAATTAGAAAACACGAAAAGTTATTAATAAATTTTTTATGTATGATATAACTTCACCTTTATACGAAAGCCGAATAATTGCATTTAACTCAGTCATACAAAACGTGTAGAAAATTTCAAAGCGGTTACTTGGAAAAATATTATGTTTCTTGAAAAGACAAAAATAGTAAATGTAACTGATTTCTATATAAGTATTTAGATGTAAATTTCGAAATTTCCCTAGTTTTTCCTAAGAAATATGTTAGGCAAATCCTTATAAAATGAAGGATTTTTTCCCATCAAATCCATGAGAACTGTCTTTTTGGTAAAAAGTAACGGTAAGGTAATGTCTTTTCTTCTATGGCATGTATGTATGTAACCCCTTTCGACTTTAATTAGCTTCATTTATAAATTATTTGTGCTCATGAGGATCATATGAAATAATTTTTTATACAATTTCATATCTGTCGTATTTATTGGATCGTACCATTATATGCTCAGTAGTTTTCCCATTCAAACAATTTTCAGAGAATTTATTTCTTAAGTCTCGATAATGTAATCTGTCTACCGTTATGATGCTATCGTCAAACTTCTTTCAGAACGAAATAATTTCGAAGGGAATAATTCTAAAGTCATTTAATGTAAAGTGTATAGTTATTTACTGTGTCATTTAATTCAACAAAAAGAAAATGAAAATATTGAATATTCGAGCAAAAGAAATCAATTAAAAAAATAAGAAGATTTCGTTGAAAAAATAATAACTTTGTACATATTTAATTTTCTATCCTTAATTATAAAAGGTGGACTATTATGGACTAAAAAAATAATATAATGCAAATAAATGGTGAAATAAAGGAAATAATTTGGCACAAGGTTTGATTTTCGATACTGTTTCCCTATTTAAGTGCAGTTTACTCATTGGCTGACTAAATCAAGCCTCAGTACTTTTTTCTTCTTTTTTGTCTCTTCCTAAAATAAGATTTTCAATTATACGGATTTTGCTCTACTTTTCTCATTAAAATTCAGCATATAAGACATTCAAACTCTAAAAATCGGAAAACAGCTGCTTCGTCATTCTTAAAATTAAGTATTTCCTATGGTTTTCAAATTCAAATAGTTTCTGCCAAAAAAGATTATTGAAACTGAGTAACATTGATGGACTTGGTAAGTGTTAGAAATTATTGACGTTATGTATAGGCCAATATACCAATACATTTTTTGTGTTTCTACAATAGTTTGGCCCATTTTTTGAGTTTAAGACTATATTTATTTGAATTGTCAAATTGGCAGAAAATGTCTGATTCATTTATACGATAAAGAAAATTGTTCTTGCCATTCTTTCTCAAATAACACGTGCATGGTAAAATAATAATAAAAATAAAAGCCAATTTTCAGATTTTGCTATTTATTTCCTTCTTTAATCTAAAGTCTCTATTTTAGGAGTAAAGTTAATAGGGAGTATGTTTCGTATTGTAAATACGAGGAAAGTTAAAAAAAGTATTCTTAGGAAATTATAAATAAAAATCTAAATTAAAATCTAAACATGTAGATGTATCTAGACCCATTCAATGCTTAATATATTGCCTCTAGTTTCTTTTATAGCTCAGCACTACAAACATATAATTGAGTGGTGCAAAAATGCAGTTTCGCAACACTTTTTCTGAATCATCGTGAATGCTTTGTATGTTGATGACCTACCTTAAAGTGATCTAGTTACAACTTCATAGTGGCAATTTACTCGTGAAATTCAAGAAAAATATTTCTAGTGAAAAGGTAAAATTAAACTTTTTTAAAAAATAGAAACCTTCTTCAAATTTAAGTCCATACTACAAACAAACCATGATAAATGACTATTTTTGTGCGAAAAAATGTACTTTTATGCATTTTTATTTGATTTTCAAAAAACAATGGCATTAAGTCCGATGATAAATAATAACATCATCCAAACAATGATATTTTTAGACACACTCGATGAATTCAAATACTGGCAGAGGTCCTTATAATGGATAGCATTAGCATTTTTTATGGTGCTCTGTCTCTCTGCTTGTGTGTCTAACACAGTCAGCTAAAGTCTGTGTTGCCACCTGAAAATAAATAAATAAACAATTAGTAAAAAAATTATGCGTTATATTTGTCTTAAGGTAGTATATAAATATTATCTATTTATATAATAATGTATATATGATAAGAAAACTTAATTAGAATATTATATCGCAGCAATATATATGCTTTTAAAGAACATGATATTTAATAAATAAAGGTTAAAGAACGTTAAAGAAACGGCCATTTGGGCGTAATGTAAAATCTGAAAGCTTTCAGATTTTTTTTAAATTATATTGTCGCGTGCTTACGGTTTTCATAATAGATTGAATGCACACAGGTTCGATGATAGATTCATAAAATTTATTTTTATCAAAAGAAACACTTCAAAGTTCTGGAATTTTCTACAAAAATTCTCGTACAGGTGTTCACAGTATCACAGATGACAATCACTACTTAACTCTTTGAACTAGTCAGAATGTTAAACACAAAGCAATGCAAAGCGCACCTAAAGAGAAAGCTAACCTGAAAATATCTCCCATCTCACGCTGAACTAACAGCTCGCAACAATAACAACAATTGAAAGCAAATCCTCTCTCCGGTCTTATCTAGTTTTTAACCGGCCTGCTTCTCGAAATTACTGGAAAGCAATGTGAGGGTCAAATTACAGCTGCAGCTAATAGTGATCAATTGCATTTATTCAGTTACAATACTTATCACGGTAATGCAGGGACCGGACCAAATATGTCGCCACATGGTAGACAAACGCTTTGTCAATTAGCTTTTCAGTCAAGGAAATTTTTCTTGTCGGCGTAAATACAATTAATGTTATCACGCTAAAATATCAGCCAATAATTTTGTCAGAAAAGTAATTTGTGTTTTTTTTTACAAAAATAAAAATATGTACATATTTTAATAAAATGATCTTTGTAGATATAAAATATTATCAACAGGCCCAAAAAATAATTCTCAGCTCCATTATAATTAATGCGTATTTGTCCCGTAGAGAGAAAAATGCAACTTAAGTGCCTGAATTATTTCAACATCCGGATGGAATGCTTTTTCAGTCAGGCCGCAAATTTAGAGCTTTAATTTTATAAGTGAATTTTTTGACAGTATGCCTATCAAAAGAAACGGAGATAAAGTAATTTAAAAGCAAAATACACCATCGAAATAAGTTTCAAAATAACACTGTGAAAAAGATACAAAGTTATCGGTTTACGGTTAAAATGATAGTTACGGAAATGAAAAATGTTAAATAAAACAAAAATAGCGGTTATCTGGTTGCGCGCGATTTTTTGTATTTGTTTATAGAGTATTCTTTTCGTAACGTATTTTCTCGCGCGTGAATTTGGCTATGTAATTAACTACATAAGAAATCGGAAAGGGGAAGATGTATTTTTCTAAATTCTTATTTGATGAAAAATACAAGCAACATTGTTGGTTCGAAAATCACACTTTCAATTTTTTTCTGCTGCCAAAATTATTCAAAAAACATCTTCCATTGGAGAACTGGATTTTCTAGAGGCATTTCACATTCATAAAAATCTTTTTGTTCTAGTTAACGATCCTAATTCCAATCCAAATTTGCCTTCGGCCTTTAAAGAAATTATGTTTTAGTTCTGGTTTCACGAACAGATGGCGCCACTTGCTTATTCTTGTCCAGGCTTTCTTATCTTATCTAATCATTATATTTTCTATCTTGTTCATTTGCGGTTTTGCAGCTGAGGATGGTGGTTCGGTAAAAACCATCGAAACTAGTCCTGTGAAAATTTTGTAAATATAACGCTGATTTTTGTTGTTTGACTTTGAATGTTTGTAGTAGATAAATTTATATTTTTTTGGTAATAAATAATGAAATTCCCTGGTACCTATACACAAGTTACGCATCTGGTATGCTTTTCTTTAATGTTTAATTACAATCAGCACCCATTTGATTGATCTAATACCGGGGATATCGTTCACGGTTACTCAAAATTATGGCTGATCCAATGGCAGTTTAAAAAACACATGGAAAAGACAACACACACACAAAAAAAAAAAAAAAAAAAAAAAAAAATATTCAACAATTTACCTGTGTTTTCATACATTTGAAGGTGGAGAATGAGTTCATTTATTTTAAATCAAATCGGTATTCAAGGTTCTTTTCCGAGCGCGGGTGTTGTGTGCACCTTTTTTCACTCTGTATTTTCTTCTGTGTTTATTTATTTATATCTATATTTCTTCTGCTCTTAAGGCGCATATTCTATATTACATTTTGTTTACAATATCTCTTGCATATTGCAGTTAATGCGAAACTGAAGAACACTGGCTGTATACTTGATTCATTTTTAAGATTGAGCACGTTACTTTAAACTGATTATCAAGCAATGTTTATATGTTCTGAATTAGACAAAATTAAACTACATACTATGGTGGATAAAAAAATAAACGCCCAAGTATTGCGATATAGTTTGTTATTAGTGCTATTATCCTCCGCAATTTTCTTTACCTCTTTGCATTTTCCGTAGACAGTTTTTTTTTTTAAACTGAACTGTTCATAGCTCCGCAATAAGCAAAATGATTTCAAAATTGATTGAGGTTAAACGAGCTTCTATCACTACATCAGCTATACTTCATCATTATTCACTGATAACAGTATTATGTTATAAGACTGTGACGAGATACCCGAATGTCTCTCCATAGTCATTTATATTTCATATCCAGAAGATAATATTGCATAATGAACATTAATGTTTCAAATTCAGGACTTAATGCTTATGCAGTGTACTACCTGCTTATAAGGTAATAGCACGATCCTCTGGTATAGTTTCTCCCTTGAGCTCGATATAAGGTGATCCAAAATATCTCGCACAACAAACTTTAAAAAATTGCGGAAACTGAAGAATGGATATTAATGACAAATGTTTCGATGAATAACATCTCTTTTTAACTATTGTAAACACATAACGTGTTATTTGAAATTTCAGTTGCAGTGTATGCTGTTAACATTAAAAATCATTTGTTTGGTGAAAGATGTAGGCCGTGAAAAAAACCTCCCTGTTATATATGAACTTCTAGCAGCTTATCCGTTCAACCAATCGGAATGAAATTTCAACATTAATCTGAAGGTATGCGCTCGAGATTGTGATTATTTAAAAAAGCAGCCCTTTCGTAATTACCGCCACAATGAACAAATTTCGAAATTTTCGAATGGCGACGACCACTTTTCTTCTTGCTCAAGCTGATCAGCGCATTGAAAAATCATAAATGGAGTTCGAACGATATAGAGATGAAAATGGCGGCACTTGCAAAGGAGAACATTTTAAAAGTCCATTGGCAACACAGAGAGGAGGATGCATTTTGGAGAATTCCCATGGATAGATAGAAGCATCAGCCACAGAATACAATGTGCAAAGCATTGCTTATGGAAGACTTTCAATAAGCTGTGTGGAAAGATTGTGTCTTCCATCAGGTGTTCGAAGGTGCTAACAAGATGATACTTACAGGGAAACAGATTTGTCAGAATGCCACAAAACGTGAAGTTATACAGACTCGTCCTGCGATGCTACGTTCGTCATTGTTGTCAACAATATCCAGTATGCGATGGTTATACGAGCATTATCGTCTGCGTAGGTAGGGACGGTGAAATCTGTAATTCCAATAAAAGTTATTTTCCCTCTGTGTTGTTCTTGTCCTTTACAATGCTATTCTTTGCAAATGTTTTACGCAGGTAATTTTCGTCCCACGTTTATCATTCCATCTCCACTTATGGTTTTTATGGTTTTTCAATGATCAATTTATTCAGAAAAAAAAGTGAGTGCCGAAATTTGAAAATTTCGCAATGTTTTTATACTAAGCGTAAGTAAGCTATTGTTTTAAATCATCAGAATCTGGAGCGCATAATTTTCAATAACAATACCTGGAATCTCATTTTGATTGGTTGAGTGGACAGGTTCGCTAGGTTTTCATATATGGCACTTGAGTATTGAATGAAAAATTTTTTATGACGTTATATATGTGTGTTATTCATTATAACAACTTACCATTAATATCCATTTAGCAAAGTTTACAATTTTTGAAAATTTTACGTGTGCACTTTTGGGTTATCGTATATAAAGCTTGTTATAAACCCTTTGTTCGTCGATTTATTTAAGTGTGGCTCGCCAGGACTATCTCCTTGAATGGAGGAATATTTTCGAGGAGAAAATCCTAACGAAAATTTACTTGCGCCTACAATTATTACATGAGTGAAATCACGAAAACACCCACGTGAGGATGAAACAGCAGATAGCTCAATGACACTCTAAGCAATTATGTGTGTGTGTGATTATGGCAAAGCCTCGAGGGCTATCTGCCTAAGATGAGGGATGCCTTCGTGGAGGACTTTCTAAGGGAAACTGGCTCGTATACACGTTACACATGGGGAAAACCACGAAAACGCCCAAGCAACCAGCCCGTTCGCGGGATTCGAACCTCGGACCGAACTACCAGTGTTCAGCGATTTTACCGCTCGGCCGCTGGTGGGCCCTGTAAGCAATTATTACAGTTGTATAGACATTAGGATTTATTTGGAAGCAGGAAAAATGAAAAATTAGCCATCGCCTTCGCCGGGAATCGAACCACGGACCTCTGGAATACCGGCTCAGCGTGCAGAACCACTACACCACGAAGGTACGCTAGGAAGGCGGAAGAAATACCTTACAAAGTAACCGTGCGTGCTCTCGCGGAGTAAGTAGTTTTTATTTAAAGCTGGCCACTGATGCTAGAATCTTGGTGAAGGTACAGAGCAATTTACACTTACATGTTTCTCACTCTCAAAAGCCTAATTTTCTCCAAAAGATATCCAAACTAAAAATGTGGTGGCGGATAATTAATTATTCCCACCTGGTCTCGTACTTCTTGTCAGTACCAAAGGGTAGAATATAAGGCGTTATCACACGTGCACTAAGTTGTTAACTTTAAACAGCGATCGCTTGCTTCAAGGTAGAGATAACTATTTCCCAAGCAGAACGAACTTTTACGATTGAGTTTTACACCGCAACGTATTAGTTTGACTGCAATG